TCAGCGGCAAAAGCGCCTGCCTGGCAAGTGCAAGGTTGTGAGTTCGGTTCCCGGTACCGGAGAAAAACCAAAAAAAAAAAAAAAAAAAAAAAAAATAGGAGAATGTAGGATGAGAACATTTATTGGAGTTGGCTATATGTGGAGGTCATTGATCATATTAGCAAGAGTAGTTTTAGTCTAGTGGTGTGACTATACTTGGGAATAATTTGAAAAGTAAATTGGGGTAGAGAAAGAGATAAAGGAGAGAAAAAGCCCTTTTATAAAAAGCCCTGATCCATTCATGATCTAATCAAAGCCTACAGGCCCCCCCTCTTTATACTGTTGGATTGTGCATTTTTAAGGTAGATTTGAAGGGTCACCAACATTTACTGTAGTAGATTGTAAGATACTGTTGCATTAGAAAATACTACTTTTCATATAGAATGATTATTAAAAAGGAAATGTGAAGGTGGTTTATATATATATTTTACTACAATAAAAAATGTAAGACTGGGAATGTAGCTCAGTGGTAGAGTACTTGCTTGTCATGCATGATGCCCTGGGTTTGCTCTCCAGCACTACAGAAAAAAGTGGGGGAGGGGGGCGTGAAGATGATTCATAGAAAAAGACTTTTAAAGAAACTTTAAAATATGTAAAAAAGGCTTTTCCTTCCACCCATGTATTTACTGATGATGAAAATGAAATCTTTGGTTTTTTAGTTAAAAATGGGTTACCAGTACCCATCTTGGTTTCAGCAGGAGTAAATTTTTTACAAAAGAAATACACATACAGTTGTGTCCCTCATATAGCAGCTGGTGAATGCATACAGCAGATGAACTTATGATCTGGAGAACTACTACGTTTCCTTGGGGTCACATAGCTGGCCAGTGGCAGAATACAGCCCAGAGTCAGGGTTTTTTTGATCTAGGGCCTTTTAATGTGATTCTGCCCGTCTGGCTACTTAGCTCAAGCTATGAGTCTTTTGTGCAGGAAGTAAAGTTTCTGAAACTTCATATGAATTGCTCTTTCCTTCAATCTTTGTTCTGTGTCTGAAGAATTCAGTACAAATAGTATTGCTAATGGGAATACAGATGTTAAATTCTTTCAAAATCTTTTTTTTTGGTCTCCTTTTCAGAGTCTGAATGTCATTCAGAATTTGAAAATACTACTCATTCTGTCTTCAGATCAGCCAAGTTTTACTTTCATCATCCAGTGCACCTACCAAGTGATCAAGATACTTGCCATGAATCTTTGGGAAGGAATGTTTTCATGAGGCAATCTTGGAAAGATTTTTTCCAGCATCATTCAGACAAGCATAAAGAACACCCGGGTCTTTCTCTCCCTTATCAAAATGTGGACAAGAATAAGACAGATTACACTAGAATACAGAGCCTCAGCATCAATGTGAATTTGGGAGACAAAGAAGTGATACATACTACTAAAAGTCAGGGCAGAGATCATCCAAAAAGTAATGTACAGATTAATGATTCACAAAAGGACCGTAAGATCACCTCAGAGCTAACGACTCCGCACACTGTGGGTTTGAATGAACTCTGGAACAAGTACCAGGAGCGACAGAAGCAACAGAAACCTCCTGGTGTCAGTGACAGGACAGAACTATCCTTAGTGGAACGACTTGATCGGTTGGCTAAACTTCTTCAGAATCCCATCACAAATTCTCTCCAGGCCTCAGAAAGTATGAGAGATGATAGCAGAGGGGAGCGAGACATTAAGGAATGGAGTGGTAAACAGCGTCAGCCAAAAAGCAAACTTCAGAAAAAGCAGTATAAAAGCCCAGAGAAAGGGCATAGAAACATAAGTGATCGTAAAAAACACAAGGTACTTTCTGCTTACCAAACTGGGAGCCCCAACCAGATTAAAATTGAACAGATTAAATTTGATAAATATATTCTGAAAAGACAGCCATGCTTTAATTCTGTCAGCAACACATCTTCAGATTCTAGGCCCTCAGAGGAAAGTGGGTTGCTCACAGATACTCCTACCAACATTCTTTCTACCACACCTTCTGTGGACTCAGATATGTTGACCCAAACAGATAGAGAGGTGACTTTGCATGAAAGGAGTAGCTCTATTTCCACCATTGACACTGCCCGACTGATCCAAGCTTTTGGCCATGAACGAGTATGTTTGTCACCCAGACAAGTTAAATTATATAGTAGCATCACCAACCAACGGCGGAGATACCTTGAGAAGCGGTGCAAGCACAACAAGAAAGCATTCAATACAGGTCATCCCCAAATGACTTCTGAGCACACCAGAAGGAGACACATCCAGGTACATGGCTACAAATTCCATCTGGCAATGTGACTGCTTTTTCTAATGGACTTTTTAGTTCATCTTGGAACACAGGTGAAAAAAAAAGCCACTTACCCTTTCCTCACTATAACATTTCTTACCAACTGGAAAAGAGTGAGAAAGTGTAGCACAGTGCTCTTGTGAGTTGTCATTCTTTTCATCAACATTCACTTTCCGATTCCCCCTTGAACTAAGGGCTTTGCTATTAGATGCATGAGAATCCACAAAATATACCACTGACATGGGGGAGCTTCTAGTTTAGAATAACCTCTGTTCTAAACTATATTGCTGGGTTTTGTTTGGTTTAATTCTTCCTGTCTTTCATATTTCAGGTGCTTTTAAATACACACGAACAGTATGATTGTTTTAAAAAATAAATGAACAATTGGGATAGAAAAGTTAAAACTGGGATAAACTATAATATGATTTTTAAAAAATAAATGAACTGTGAATGATGGAAAGACATTACAGCCAGAAAGGACATAAACATACCTGACTGATACGTAGGCTAGAAGTTAGCTATAAATCTGGCATTCTGTTTTAGCACATAGTGTTGCTAGTATTTTGTGCTCAATTACATTGTAAAAAAGGAAACCAATTTTTCAAGAGGTTTATAGGTATTTCTGGTACAGGCATCTAAGGGATATTTTTCTTGCATCACCGTGTAGCAGTCCTCCACAGCTTGTCTACCACAGATTCCATAACAATGCCTTAGATTAAAATGTTAATGAAGGCAGATCTCAAGGGGTCAACAAATGCAGAAGCTGCTTTATCCAAGAACAAAATTGGGAGTACTCACCCAGATAAATACTCTCAAAGATAAGTGCATTGTGGATTAGAGTATGGAAAGAAAAATATTAGACTCTATATTCATTTTATTCAACCTTCTAAAATTTATTTTTGTATACAATATATGAGTACAGTATTTTTATAATTTATAAACATGTATCTGTTTTGGCAGTTTGTGCTAAAACTATTTTGTCAGTAGGAGTGAATGATCACAAAATTTGGAGAACACTGTTCTAGATAAAAAGGAGGTATGAAGTGCTGGGGATATAGCTCAGCGGCACAACTGCCAGCCTAGCAAGCACAGGGTCCTGAGTTCAATTCCCAGTACCAAAAAAAAACCAAAAAAAAAAAAAAAAAAAAAAAAGTATGAGATTTGCAGTTTACTATAAATAGTATTTCTCATAATGCTTTTGGTAGGTGTTAAATGTCATTGATTGCCTGTTATTATAAAAATATTTTAAGTAAGGAATTGAAAATAGCACAGACATGAAGATGGGTAAAAAGATCAGAGAAGAAGGTGTGTATGTGATAAAATATACAGCATAAAATTTACAGTTTTGACCATTTTAAAGTAAACACTTCAGTATCATTAAATACATTTATACAGTTTTACAACCAACACCACTATTAAGTCTCAGAAATCCTTCATCACCTCAGTGGAAACCTGTGTTCCTTAGGCAGTGACTCCTTATTTCCCCTTCCAACCAGCCCCTGGAAACCAAGTCTTTCTGTTTCTCAGTACTTGGCTGTTTCATAATATGTGATCTTTATATTAGGCTTCTTTCCCTTCTCCACCTTTCTTCCATTTTTTTCTCCCAGTGGCTACATTGTTTTATGTTCCATTAGGAAGGCACAGAGGTTTCAGTCTCACCACATCCTTGCCAACAATTGTTTCCTCTCCTCTTCCCCTCCAGTAGCCATACCATTAGGTGTGAGGTAGTGTCTCATTTTAGTTTTGGTTTGTATTTCTGCAGTGGTTAGTCACATTGAATTGTTCTTTGTATGCTTATTAGCCGTTTGTATATCTCTGGAGAAATGTCTTTTTAAGTTTTTTAACCTTTATGAATCTGGCTGTTGAGTTTTAATAAGCAGAGCTGTAGGAATTTTCTATATATTCTGTGTAATAACCTCTTCAGATATGTGATCTGCAAGTATATTTTAGCACTCCATAGATTACCTTTCACACTGTCATTTTAATTGTCCTCTTTGACTTGAAGTTTTTTATTTTGATATAGCCCAACTTAACTTTTTTGTTGCATATGCTTTTGAAATCATATCCAAGAAATCACAGCCAAATCTAGTGTCATAAAAATTTTTATTTGTTTTTTCTGAGAGTTTTTTAATTTTAGCTTTTTCATTTAGCTTTTTTATTTATTCTGAGTTAAATTTTATATATGGTGTAAGATAAGGGTTTCTTATACCCTCTTTCTTTTTGCATGTGGATATCCAGTGTTTGCAGCCTCATTTGTTGAAAAGATTGTCTTTTCCCTGTTCAGTATTCCTTGGCCCTCTTGTCAAAAATTATTTAACTGTATGCATGTCTATATGTGGGCCCTCTGTGCTATTCCATTGATCTGTATGTTGGTCTTTATGTTAGTACCATACTGTTTTGATTTACTGGATCTTTGTAATAGATTTAGCAGAAAGTGTTCTTTTTTCAGAATTGTTTTGGCTATTAGTGCTTAGAGATTTTATATGAATTGTACTTAATATTCTGTTTTGTTCTGATACAATTGGAAATACAATTGCTTTCTTAATTTCATTTTAGGGTGTATTGCTTATGTGTGAATATATAGCTAATATTTGCATGTTGACTTTGTGTCCTTGTTGGATTCTTTATAATTTTCTACATATAAAATCATGTCATCTGCAAATACAGTCTTATTTTCTCCTAATCTGAATTCTTCTTTATTTTTTTCTAATTACTCTTGCCACAACTTCCAGTGTAGTATTACAGTAGAAGTGGCAAAAGCAAATATTCTTGTTCATGATCTGAGGGAGAACACTTTCAGGCTTTTTAACATTGAGAAAAATGTCAGCTGTAGGTTTTTCACATATGATTTTTGTTCTGAAGAGGTTCCATTTTCCTAATTGAATGTTTTTTAAAGGGTTTTAATTTTTATTGAATGCTTTGGAGCATCTATTGAATTGTTTATGTAGGGTTTTCTCTCTTTTTTCTATTTAATATAGGGTATATTTATTGATTATCTCATATTGAACCAATCTTACATTCCTGGAATAAACCCCACTTGACCATGTTAAATAGTCATTTTCCTATGCTGCTGGACTTGGTTTGCTGGAATTTTGAAAAAGATTTTTGCATCTCTAGTCATAAAGGATAGGGGCTGGGGATTTAGCTCAGCGGCACAATGCCTGCCTGGCAAGTGCAAGGTCATGCATTCGATTCCCAGTACCGGAAAAAAAAACAAAAAACAAAAAAAAGCCAAAAATGCTAATTTTTAATTAATCCTAATTTTAATTAATGCTGATTTTAAAATGTTTGATCACATTCACCAGTGACACCATCAGGCATGTGTTTTTCTTTTGGAAAGTTTTTCTTACAACTGATTTAATCTTTTATTTTAACTCTATTCAAATTTTCTGTTGCTTCCAGTTTGTGTCTTATTTTCTCATTGCTAAGACAAAATACCTGACACCCAAAGTTAAAGGAGGAAAGGTTTATTTGGCTCACAGTTTGTGGAGGTTTCAGTCCATAATCAGCTGACTTCAAGGCAGGGTGGCACATGGCAGGGAAGCATCCCAGAGGAGAAACAGTCTGTGGCAAAGTAGGGCTGGCAGAAGGCAGTGAGCAAAAAACATGCAATGACAGTAGTCCTCTCTGTGTCCCTTATATTTTATCTGGGCTACTTGCCCTGTAGCACTTACACCCAGGGTGGGGCACCCTTAATCCTACCCAGAACTGTGCCAAATCAATCAGTGGGCTACTTTAGTAATCATTCTGGATCCAGTCACCTCAAAAAGCGTCACTTATAACCACGTGAGGCTTTGGGGGACATTTAAATACAAGCCATAAAAGTTTGTATGTAATATATTTCTTGACTTTGTCTATCTATTGTTTTTCTGGTCTGTTTAATTCATGATGCAGTAGTCTTCATTATTTCCTTTGCTTTTATTGGTTTAGTTTCTTTTTTCTAATTCCTTACAGCTGAAAGTCAGGTTATTGACTTGAGATTACTCTTTTGTAACTTGCCCTTTGAGCATCACTTTCACAGACATAAATGTTGTCCTAAGCTTTGCTTTCACTGTGTCCTGTGTTTTAGTATGTTTTTTTTTTTAATTTATTTGAACTTATTTTCAAATTTCCTGTTATATTTTCTTTGACCATGAGGTATGTAAGACCATCATGTTTAGTTTTCATGTATTTATGAATTCACTAATTTACCTTGTTATTGGTTTGTTTTTATCTCACTGTAATTAGAGATAAACTTTGTATTAATTCAGTATTTAAATATACTGTGCCTTCTATTGTGGCTTAACATATGGTCTCTCTTGAAGAATGTTCCTTGGGGCCTTAAGAAGAATCTGTATTCTAATCTTGGTTGGAGTATTCTGAGTGTATAGTGTATGTAGCTAGTTAATAGTATTGGGCAAGTCTTTTATTTTCTTATTGGTCTTCTATCTGGTTTTTCTGTCCGTATTGGAAGTGGAACATTACTGTGGAATTATTTCTGCATTCAATTCTATAACTTGTTTATTTTGTATATTTTAAGGATTCATTATGAAATGTGTATATGTTCACAAGTGTTATATATACATCATGAGTTGACCTTTTTATCGGTATAAAATCCCTTTGTTTGTCTCTTGCAACCATTTTAAATTCAGTGTGTTTTGTCCATTACTAGGATAGCTACCTTAGCTCTATTTTGGTTATTATTTACTGGGAATATCTTTTTCTATCTTTTTACTTTTTTTAGATGGGTAGCAGGAATCGAACTCAGGACCTCTCACTTGCCAGGCAGGTGCTGTGCCGCTGAGCTATATCTCCAACCCTCTTTTTACTTTTAAACTGTTTGAATCTTTGGATCTAAGTGAGTCTTTTTGAGATCACATAAGTGATGATTCCTTTAGATCCTTTCTGTCATCTCTGCCTTCCAGTGGGGGGGTGGGGTATAACCTATTTATAGTTAAAATAATTACCTATAGGGCCTTATCCCATTGTGCTTTTCATT